CCATCGGGTCTGGGACTCACACCGCGGTTGGCTATGTGGGAGTCCAGCGCCCTTAACCACTACACCACCACGTGCCCCCTAGAGAGATTTTTTGCTTTAGGGCATGTGCGTTTGCCAGAGCGACAGAGAAAAGTGAGCTATTGTCCCCCAGGGAGATAGCCATGCTGCAATTCCTTCTCTTTCATTCTCTTGGGATTTGGGGCATGCACACACAGGTGCCTGGCTTGTTTCAAGCCTCTAGGTCTGGAATTTGAACCGCAGTCAGCCATGTGGTAGTCCAGCGCCTTAACTACCATGTCACCTGCTGGTCCCCATATTTTATTTTTTAAGGGTTTTACCATACGGTGTATGCGCTCACGAGAGAGGAGAGAGTCTGTGAGAGAGAAAGTGAGAAATCACCCCCCAAGGGGAATGGCCACATTACAGTTCCTTCTCCTCCATTCTCCTAGAATTTGGGGCGCGCATGCACATGTACCTGGTGTGATTTTCAAGCCACCAGGTCTGGGACTTGAGCCAAGGTCGACCATGTGGGAATCTAGCACCTTAACCACCATGCCCTATGCACTTTATCTTAAAAAGCAGAGCCTCCCATGACCTCCCACCCCATCCCATGCCACTCTTCCCATCATGCAGGTATGCTCTAGACACCCTGGCTCTTTGTCAGTGCCTTAACAGCCAAACTCCTTGGTGCCCCAGGGCCTTCGCTTTTGTTTTGTTTGTTTGTTTGTTGAGAGTTTGTTTTTTTTTTGCTGTAGGATCAATGTGCTCACCAGAAAGACAGAGAGAGACAGAAAGCGAGAAATCCCCCCCCAGGGGGGATGGCCACGCCACAATCGCTTCTCCATCCTCCTCTCGGGATCTTGGGCACACACGCACATGCGCCCGGCATGAGTTTAAGCTGCCAGGTCCGGGACTCAAACCATGGTTGACTACATGGGAGTCCAGCAACATAGCCATTACACTAAATGCTGGTCCCAGGGTCTTTGCTTTTGTCACTGGCCACATCTGACACACTCCAGTTCTCCTTTGTCCCTCGTGTCCCAGCTCCTCTGACTCTGTCCTAGAAGCCCTCCCCACCGTGGTCCACCATCAAAGCCTTCAGAGCACCACTGGCATCCACAGTGCTCACAGACATGTCGGTTTGCTTCAGTGTCTCGTCCGTCCTCTCACCATCATAAACGTTCTAGGAGGGCGAGCCTCTTACTTGGTTTTGCTCCCCGTTACCCACCAGCGTCAGGCTCAGTGCCTGGCACATAGAAAATGCAGGAAGAAGGAAGGGATGAGTATTCTGTGGCTCAGGGAGCATGGACACCATGCCAAAGAGTGGGTTAGTCCAGTGGCCACTGTGGGTCTGACCCAAGTCTCTCACACAGGAGAAGGCACGATCCCTGTGGAGTCCAGTGACATCGTGCCTACATGGGATGGCATTCGTCTTGGGGAGAGGCTCCGTACCATGTCCTGTAGTGACAAAATCCTGCGCTGGAACGTGCTAGGCCTGCAGGGGGCGCTGCTCACCCACTTCCTGCAGCCAGTGTATCTCAAGTCTGTGACACTGGGTAAGAGACCTGCCTCGGGAGCTGGAACCAGTTTGTCCGTGTGCCCAGATCGCAGCAAAGTGCACGCTCCATCGCCAGGTGTTGACAGGAAGTCTTCCCTTTCCAAAGTGAGCTTGATTCGGGTGTCAGGATTCCAAGTGTCCAGCCTACTGTGGTAGGGAGATGGTGTAGGCAGGGAGATGGTGTAGGCAGGGAGATGGTGTAGGCAGCGAGCCCAGGACAGGACATGCCAGGCGAGGCTTTTCAGGATGAGTTAACCCAGCAACTTAAAACTGCAGTAGCTACTACCAGACTGTGGCCTTGCCTGGAGCCTTATATACTGTGCTTAGATGTCCAATGGCCCTGGATCGTCCCAGGTAGCCAACTTAGCCTCCTACAGGGAACGTTTCTCTGTCCTGACGGCTCCCCTTTGAACCTTCAGGCTCCCCACATGCCTCTGCCTCTTAACAGCATTTGGCCCCAGCACCGTGTACGCCTTTCTTCTCTTCTCAGGTTACCTTTTCAGCCAAGGGCATCTGACCCGTGCTATTTGCTGTCGTATGACAAGAGATGGGAGTGCATTCGAGGATGGACTACGGTACCCCTTTATCGTCAACCACCCCAAGGTGCCACAGCCCCGTTCTATTTTCCCTTGACCTTTTTCTCCTTTTTAAGAAATTCCGTAAGCAGAGCACGTGTGTACAGCATGGGCCAGGCCGCCTCCGCTGGTGTCCTGAGGACTTGGCCTTGCCTCCCTTTGGGTGTCGGGCGCTCCTTCTCTTCATCTGGAATTAGCTCGAGTCAGAGTTGAGCTAGTTTGGCTCGAGTCCGCTCTCCCTCGGCCAGACGGAATCTCAGTGACGGGGAGAGGCCGGGGCCCTGTGCTCCCTCCCTCTTTCCCAGGAGTCATAAGGCCCTGTTTCAGAGTTTTACTCCTGCAAGGTTTGTTTCTCTCTCATCTGTCTCTTGTCACTTCCGGGTCTCCTAGGTTGGCCGAGTCAGTGTCTATGATTCCAAAAGACAATCTGGGAAGACGAAGGAGACGAGCGTCAACTGGTGTCTGGCTGACGGCTACGACCTGGAAATCCTGGACGGCACCAGAGGCACCGTGGATGGGTAAGGGGACGGCAGAGCCCGGAGAGCAGGAGCTTGCAGCCCGGCTGCTGGGGCCTCGCCCCTCATCCGGCTACCGGTGCCTGAGCTCCCCGCTGAGGCACCCACCTTTCCTGGCCTCTGCCCCTGGGGAATAACAAGTGTTTTGTTTCTCCAGGCCTCGGAATGAACTGTCTCGGGTCTCCAAAAAGAATATTTTTCTTCTGTTTAAGAAGCTTTGCTCCTTCCGCTACCGCAGGGATCTACTGAAACTCTCCTATGGTGAGGCCAAGAAAGCTGCCCATAACTACGAGATTACCAAGAACTACTTCAAAAAAAGCCTGAAGGACATGGGCTATGGGGACTGGATAAGCAAACCCCAGGAGGAAAAGAACTTTTACCTCTGCCCAGTATAGTATACCCCAGGACCGATGGCTCGGGGCGCTTCGTACGGACTGAGAGGTGGTCACAGCATTCCTCATCACATTCGTCAAGGGTTTTTTTTTGTTTGTTTTTTGTTTTTTTTTCCTCCCCTTTTTTTCTTTTTTTTTTTAAGGAAACCATCATTTGCGTTTCCAAGAACTTTGGGTTCCCATTGATCCTACTTCATTTGGGATTGCTAGGCAGCGTCTGGCCACCCCACAGCCTTTTCTTCCCGCGTAGCATAAGCAGTCACCGAGCACCTGCAGCCCACTTCCTCTTAAGGATTGGTTTCATTTTGTTCTGCGTTTCTTTTCCCTTTATGTCGGCTACACTGACTTCTCGTGGTCTTTATTAGGTTCCAGTCAACTCCGTGAATCATGTCTGGGACAGATGATTCCATGTATAGGTCACAGGCCCCTCTGCTTCCCCTCCTCTCCTTCTGAGAGCCCTTCCTTCTAATTGTTCAGTGTCTCTGCCATTGGGATAAAGGTGAAATCAAAGAATTTGATGGAACATGTCCGAGGGCACGTCCACAACAGCAGTCAGTTCGTTCCCAGTGCCAGTGGCCGCAGGCAGCCCTTGGCGATCAGGTCTCACGCCTTAGCCAGCTTGGGGACGGCCGCCAGAGGCAGGAAAGCCGCCTCCCCCGGGCAGCAGGGAAGCCTAAGCCAGCCAGAGGAGGCTCCCAAGGTTGCCCAAGCAGGAGCCCAGCTTTCCCTGCAGGGGGCACAGACCACTTCCCCAGCATGGACATCCTTGAGGAATGTCCCTTCTCCTGAAGCATTTCTAATTCCTAGGGATTTGCTCTGTCCATGCAGGTCAAAGGAAAAACTCCTAGACAAACCCTAGAGGATAAATTCTCTCTGCTCAGATAATCGGGACTTAGCAAGAGTAAGGGCAAAAAAATCATTTCAGGCCAGATCATGGTCCACTGGCATACTCTTTCTCATGACAGTGACACCAAGGGAAGCCAGTTGATTAAGTCAGGTGTAAATTAGGAGTTTTTAAAAGAGCGCTATCAGTGTTGATTTTTAACCGTTATCGGTAATCTATCACCTTAAAAACCCAGGCATAGCTTTTCCTCCCATTTATCCAGGCGCTTGCTTTTTGCCAGATGGCCTCAGGAGTTGGTTGTGGTGTGTCACAGACCTGAGGTCTCCCTGGCTACTGCAGTCCCAGAGAGCACACGGACAAGGCAGCCGTGGTGGAGGGCAGGCTGACGGGCTCTGCGGTGGGACCCCCGTGCGCACCTCCACCTGCACTAACTCCCGGGCTCACAGCCTTCGGCCTTGGGGAAGCTGGGGCTGGTGCTGGAGAGGACCGCAGAGGCTCTGCCACCCTCAGGGCCTGAGCCTTCCCCTTGTCCTTCCGTGAGGAGTCTAAGTCTGGGAACTTGCTGAGCTGGTGCCTCCAGCTGCTTCCTGTCCCCTCCCTGCCTTGCCCTGTGAACTGCCAAGCCACTTTGTCAACAGCAGACACATCTGCACTCCCGCTTTGGGCTCCTGTACTCACCGTACTTCTGACCAAAAATCAACCAAAATAAGAACCCCAGGTTTTACAATACATTAAGAATGTTTCGGGACATGGGACATCAGTGTCCCCAGGAACTGGCAGGGAAAGGGAGGGCGCCTGGCCCTGAGTGCTGGGGGCACATGAGCTCAGTCCTGGCCCTGCTCCTGGGAAGGGAACCCGTCTCCTTGTCACCCACTAACTCTGGGGGCGTCGGCCCCTCTGGCCTGTCTCGGCCACTAGGGTCTCCGGCAGAGCTGGCGCCGCTGCCTCTTTAACCCGGAGCACAGGGTCTCCATGAGAGCCCCGCTGGCTCCCATCTCATCAGCAAGCTGGTAGGAAGAGAGGAGGCACCCCTGGGGCCACGAGTCCGGCCCTCGCCACCACGTCCCCAGCCCCTCTGAGTCTCACAGGACAGGGGGCAAAGTCCGCCCTTCTCTTTTTGGTCCAATCTTTGTTTTTAACAGGCAGCGCCCCACCCCCCACCTTTGTTTGAATGATTTTTGTAGTTGATTTGTCTGAACTGTGGCTATTGTGCATTCTTTGAATAATCACTCGTAAACTTGTCGATGCTTGATGCTATTTCCTTTCCTCGAGGAGAAGGGACTTTGTTGGTTTGGGGTCTCGGCAGTGACTCCAAGAGCAGAGTGAGGAAGAGCCCAAGGTGGACTTGGGTGCCATGATGGCTGCAGTCCAGTTCCAGTCTCGCTATTGTGTCCCTTGATAACAGTGATTAACAATATACATTCCTGACGAATAAATAAAAAAGAAAAGAACCTGAATTGTTAGAAAGCTTTAAGTCTTGATTTCTTGGGGGAGGTGACAGTGAGGACAGGGGGACCTGGAGTCTGGATTTCCAGTAACAATACCAACTGCCTCTGACTAGCCCCTGGGACAGGGCGGTCTGCAGCCTGCAGAAGGGAGTCATGCAGTCTCGCTGGGAGGCAAGCTTGCCTCTGGTTGGGGTGGGTACATCAGGCCCGTCTTAATCACTTCTCCAACCCTCGGCACCCTCTTTCCCCTTCGAGCTCACCAGGGACTGGGTACACAAGATCTCAAGGCCTGGAGTAGGAAAACATCCCTTGAGACAGTTATCACAAATGACACAATTCCAGCTCTCTTTTAAGGGTGCTTTTTGGCCTTCCACCCCACCCCCCAGGCTGTTGGGTACATCCTTGGAATGAAGGCACAGCTGGGGCCAGGGCAGGCCTGGCTGCAGTCTTAGCAGACAGACTCTGTATTTATATCATAGGTGGCATCCATAACTCTCACTTGAGAATTTCCAGAAGAGTCATCCTTGACCTGTGTGAAAATGGTACCAGAGGGGCTGGCAGGTGGCCTGGTGGTTAAAGGCGCTGGACTCCCACATGGCCTACCGCGGTTTGAGTCCCAGACCTGGTAGCTTATTTTCTCACTTTCCCCCTCTCCCCCCCACCACACACTCTCTGGTCAAAGAAAAATAAATAAAGTTAAATAAAATCATTCTTTTTTAAAAAAAATGGTATCAGAAGTCATAAAGTCCTTCACAGTGAACCATCCAAGCCACAGTGTCCTGTGTCACACATGGAAGAGCTGAGGCTGGGAGAGCTGGCACCATGTTTGGGATGTCTCCCATCAGGACCAGAACCTCGTGTGGTGATCCCAGTCTTCGGAAATGCAGCACTGGGCACTCCACACAGTGTTCTGGGGAACTGTGCTTCTGTGTTTAAGACAGTCCCACTGTTGGGATGTCCCTGCCTCAGCCTCCCAGCACGCGCCCCAGGCGGGGTCTCACTGTGCTGGCCTGGCCGGCCTTGAGCTTGCAACCCTGCCTCAGCCATGAGTCGCACACCCCTGTGCCCAGCCTATAGGTCGGACCGGGAGCGGAGTCTGGACCTTCGTGTGGCCCCGGCCTGCAGAGCAGTGTCAGCAGCACATGCCACCATGGTGGGCCATGGGCAGATTTTCATCGAAAGACCGTAGGATGGCATCTTCCTGATGTGTCAGGAACCTGAGTGCCTCTCCTCTCAGGCAGCTCCTGGTCCACCGGGAGGGATGTGTTGCATCCAGGTCCTTTGGAAAGTGGATGGTTCCCTTACAGCCTAAGGCAAAGCCAGACACCTCTGTGGGAGAATGGGACTGTCCCCCTACTCATGCCTCCCCTGCAGGAGCACAAGGTCTTCCTTAGCTCACTTCTGTTGCTGTTCATCACCCCACTTTGCACTTAGGGACCCTCAGATACTGTCTCCAGGCTTTCAACCCAGATCAAACCAGTCTGGGAGCAAGCGTGGGCTCCAACAGAGTGGTGCCTTGATGGGGGCCATCCCTGCCTCCAGGAGCCTGGTTCATCCTTCCTTCACCCAGAGCCTCCCCAGAGGTCATCTCTGGGCTGTCTCCCCCAAGCCCAGCCTTCTGGCCAGTTCTTTTCCATCTAATGGGATTTGTAAGAGTATGGATCACAGAGAACCAGCAGTTAGTGTAATGGTTATGTCACTGGACTCCCACGTAGTCGACCACCGTTCCCGTCCTGGACCCGGTGGCTTAAGACTTATGCCAGGTGCATGTGCGTGCATGCCCAAGATCCCAAGAGGAGAATGGAAGGGAAGGGATTGCGGCGTGACCGTCCCCCCTGGGGGGTGATTTCTCGCTTTCTGTCTCTATGTCTCTCTCTGTCTGTCTGGCAAGCACACATGGGTGCATGTGCGTGCATGCCCAAGATCCCAAGAGGAGAATGGAAGGGAAGGGATTGCGGCGTGACCGTCCCTCCTGGGGGGTGATTTCTCGCTTTCTGTCTCTATGTCTCTCTCTCTCTCTCTCTCTGGCGAGCACACACGCCCTATAGCAAAAACCTCTCCAAAAAAAAAAAGTATGGATCACAGTAATTCAGCAGCAGGTCTTTGGTATTTGTAATACCTTTAACCTTTCCCGCGTCGATCCCTGGCCTCTGACGGCCCCCCAACCCCCGCCCCACCACCACCGGTCAATATAACAGAGTGACAAGACATCTTTGGAAACAACTTTCTTTACGAGAATCGAGTTCCTAATGAGCCTGGCCTGGGTTGGCTAGACCAGGACAGATATTCTGGGAGTGCAAACAAGGAGGCCGTGGGCTGTTCGTGGTCCAGGCGAGGGCACCGAGGGTGGTGAGTGAGTCCCAGTCATCTAGACCTGTGGCCTAGGAGCACGACTTGCACGCTGACCTCAGACTGCTGTATAGGGGTCAAAGGGAGGTCAGGGCCGGCGAGCGGGAGGCTGGCCTGTGGGGTCGGGCTGTGAGGGATGCCAAGACACCAGCCCAACCCTGCCTGGCAGCAGGAGGTGACAACCAACTCCCAGTCCACTAGCGTGGGAAGTGACTCAGAGAGGGCCCTGAATGCCGCACACCCTCCTCCCAAGGGGCTCTTCCTGCCTCAGAGGCCACAGCCAGGGCGTAGCCTCGGGCAGTCAGGTCTCGGGCCCAGCACTGCTCACCAGCTGTCACTTGATCTCGCTTCTGGGAACTGGGCCCCTTCCCCGCCTGGTGGTTGTGAGGAATGAAGACAGCACGGCCAAATGAACTGGCACAGAGCAGACCCTCAGAAGCGGTGGCCAATATGGGACTTGGAGGGGATGCAAACGGGCCAAAGCCCCCACAGCGTCCCAGGAGCGTCCTCTGTTTCTCCTTGGCAGGAAACGCTCTAGCCCGTCCTCCGCAGAGAACTCTCCGCAGAGCGCACCAGCTGGGGGCTGCCACGTCTTGTTTGCTCTTAAATGTTCAATAACTCGGGACCAGCTGTTCCAGTCTCACCTCCCTGCCGGAAGCTGCCTTCCTCCCGCTGGTGCAAGTGCTACCCATTGGAAAGAGAGAGCCGGGCGTGCCTTTTTTTCAGACAAAATGGTTATCGGCTCTTCAGCAGCCCTGCCCCACCTCTACCCCAAAGGAGCCGATCCCAACTCATTTCCTCACTGTCCTCATCCTGAACCCACCTCGCTCCAGGTTTCAATCCTGTCTCTACCTCGCGCTTCAGAGCTGGAGCCTCCTCCAGTCTTGCCCAGCACTAAACTAGGTACTTGATGCTCTCCAGAGATGGCCCCACCATGGCGAGGAGGGTAGGGGCCTCCCTGATACCACAGAACCCCAAAGTGGATGAAATGGTGCTTCCCAGTACCCTAGGCAGGACCACCAGGGCTCAACCCAGGGGTGAAACGAAACAGCTGAGGATGCTCCCAAGAGAAACCGCCCGTCTTGGAGGCCCCAGAGCATGCTCTGCGGTGTTCCTCTCCAGCTGTAGCCCAGCTCCCCGCTCCCAGCTCCCCGGGCCCAGGCTCTGTTTGAGAGGCAGGTGGTCTGAGGGAGGCCAGCCTGACCACCGACCCATTCCCACCACTTTGACTTCCTCTCAGCCTCGATGTTTATGAAGCCTCTATTCTGTGCCAGGTACTCCATCACCCCATCCTACAGCAACCCATGCAGAGGGTATCACTGTCCCCATTTGGTAGATAAGAGAAGTGACAACGGTGACAAAGCAAAGGTGGCTTTGCTCTGGATGGCCTGTGAGTAAGGAGGGGGGCTGGGACTAGAACCCAGACTCCAGCTCTTTGCCTGTGTTGCGTCTCCTCCCACCCACTCATCGAACACCTGCCACCACCACTGTGCCTGGAGAGGCAGGGGGGCCCCCCCAGCCCCCAAGA